GTTAATCAAAGTATGTGTGTGCTTGACCCAGATCAATGAGTGCTGGGGCGGTTGGGAAAGCTAGTGAATGCAGGTACTGACAGTAAATATTGGTGTCTGTGTGGGGGGGGGGGAGGAGAGTGATATATGTGTTAGACCACTTTATCTATCTCCACTGTATATCTGACTTGCCTTCTCTTGCACTAAACAGACAGATAAATATAGGAGACTTATGTCTTTTGGTCTGGAGAGTCAATCTGAGGAATGAAACAGGAGAGCAGGGAGGAGTCAGCAGATGGGGGTTGATGACTAATGCTTGCTCTGTCTTTCCTGTCAAGATGTTACCCTCTTGGTGATGACTAATGTTGAGTTATTTTCTTGACAGGATGTATATTTTCTGAAGAGCTGGCAGAAGATTCACAGTCCAACCAACATCCACCAACCATCAAACCACCAGAAACAACTTGTTACCCACCAGCTAACACCTGTGAAGGTTCCTGACATCTCCAACATATGGGAGATGATACCTCAAACAGCTACCAGTACTAGAGCTTAATGTGGCTCAAAGACATTGTGTGTCCTTACTGGTGATAGAGACTTGCTAAATACCGGTACAGTTGCTGTATAGTGAAGTACTCTTACTACTTGATCCAGTGGAGCAGAATTCCCAGAGTCAAAGACAGTCGAATCATCCGGAGATGAGGGAGGCATCATAGACAGAAAGAAGAGAAGATAAGTCTGATGCTTCGCATGATGTTGTGTTCCTCACAGCTCCTAGATTGTCCAGTGATGAGAAGATGTCATCTCCAAGACCTTCTGCCTGTGTAGTATCTTTGTGATTTGGACATGATATCCTGAGATCTAGCCTAAGAGATCTGGCAATTGTCTCACTTTTATATATCTAATTTATATTGATTACATACATTCATTTTCATGGCTGACTTAGGTGTCTATATTTCACCTTTTTAAGTGTTTAGCAGTTGTGTATGTATGTATCTTCATTATATGTGTTAACATGGTTATGATAATGAACTATCATAACCTGGGGGCTTTCTTTAGTAAGTAGTGGGGGTGTCCAGCCAAGTGTGCCTAGAAATATTATATATATACTGACATATTTTGTAGTGCCAATACTTGAGTTGCCCTACTCCAGAGATAAGTTGATCGTATATTGGCCACGGGGAATCCCTTAGACCAATACGAGCCAAACGACTCAACAAAATTATCTCTGAGTGCTGCTGGTTCTGAATGAGAAATCCTTACATTAGGCACGCGACAGGAGTGATATGTGACACCTGTGTTCACCCTTAAACGGGAGGTTCACTGTTGTGGGTTACAACTAGACTGCGATTTATGCGCTTTTAGACCCAACACACCCCGAAATACTCGCCTTTTACGACGTGCTGTGTATGAGGCAATAAGTATATTCTTTTAAGAAAAATGAGACTCGGGACCCATAGGCACCAGAACCTGGGTGCTCAGATCCATTGAGGCACCCCTTCCCCTCCCCAAAGCAATTGTGTAACTAAGATTTTCCTTTAACCACCTATAACAAGTCTATCTAAGAAGTATTTGTTTAGATAATTATCTTATTATATAAATATAATAACAGACTGAGTTTATGTACCTTGAGCTCTTGCCTCCCCCAAAATTTTTTAGGTAGCAACCCCCCTCCCCCTTTCTACATATAAGGCGTTCCTTTGTAAATCTATAATAAACAGACACAATTTTGATTGGCACACCTCTTTAACGAACGTTCTTTGCCATGTCTATCGTACAGCCTGAATTCCACAGCTATGGAATACGGACAGAATTAATCTCAAATAATTGAAAATAGATTAGAGAAATTTCTATTAACCAAGCTTAAGTCGATTAACAAACACAGCGACAATTTACAAACACAGCAAACTGCAATGCTTTGTCTAGAATGCACGAACATTTAAGAAAGAGATTTGATTGGTAGGTTCCATTGTGTTAAGAAACAGACAATGTATCCATCGGTAGTCACAGAAAGAAATAGGAAGTTATAAAGACAAACTAGACAACATTAAAATCGAAAGCTAATGATACCATGTCGATGTCTGTGGCTTAGGCGTTGCGAGCGCGCTTCGTAATGCTGGGGTACCGGGCTCGATCCCAGCTGCGGGCCGTGCGCCTTGCGTTGGTTCAAACAGTGTTATCAAGAAACCGACCGTCCAAAAAGTAATGGCAAACTACTAGACGTACACTTGCCTAGAAAATCTACAACAGCCGAAAAATGCTGAGGTTTTTTCTTTAACTTCATGTAAAGGATACGCAAATAACATTTTTTTTTAATAGTTACAATGATGGGAATCGAATTTGTCACCTCAAAATGGCACGTGCGCCTCGCTATGGAAACAAGTGTACTAAGAACACAACCAGCTAGGCACCCCTATTAGAAAGGTGTCTTTATTGGATGTTTCTATCGAACAGCTTGAGACCCACAACTATGTAATACGGTTATAATTCATCTCAAACCATTGAAATTGCACCAAAAGTTACAGAAATTTATATTAACCAAGCATAGGTCAAATAACAAGCACAGCAGCAATTTACAAACACAGCAAACCGTTATGATTTTTTTAATGATTTGTTTACACATTTCAGAGACTGAGGCCCCCTTTCTTTTGTTCTCCGCTTGTCTTCTCTGTGACGGCGCGCCTGTTGGAACCCACACTGGGATGACGCCCCTCTAAATATGCAGCCTGTCTCAACATGGCGCCCCATCCCAGATTGATTCTCCATTCACGTTCTGTGATTGTGGGTCAAAGGCTGACCCGGAAGTGGTTGATGAATTAGCAGGGGTGAGGAAGATGGCGAGCTGGACAAAACACAAGGGAATTTGTTGTTGATTCGCGGAGAAATGTGTCTGGCGTCTGAGATTCTGTGCTGCCGCATTAGAGTTCAGTGAATAAGTATGTATTTTGTGAGAACAAGAAAGCATCTGGAAGAGCAGGACGGCAAAGAACGCCAGGAAAAGAGCCGACGGGAGCGGTATCAGCGGTCCGACTCAGCACGACTCCTGCTGCAGCAGTCCAAGCCCGGGCCACTGTCTGAGGAAGGTAGGGTCCCTAAACATGTTCCTGCGGTTCAAACATCTCTGGATATAGCCCGTGGCACCTCACAAGATCCGTCCTCGGAATTTAGACCTGAAGAATTACCAGATGGAGCTTTTTATAGGCCTAAGAAGGATTTGACAAAGTTACAAACAACAGAGGATGAGGTAGGAGTAGCAGCCGGCAGCAAACCTTCGGAACATACACGACCAGCTGAGGTAGGTTTTCTTCTTCTTTATATGTAGACGAGTAGTATATTGTCTTTTCCACCCCAAGTACTGTAGCATAGCATAGCACCACTGCCGGTATTTTTTTTTTTTTGGGAGGGGGGGGGGGGGGGTCATTTATTTAAAAACAGTTGGCAAACTTCAAATTTTTAAGGGGCCGTTGTCACATAGATCCCTTGCCTACACAGACAGTAGTCCATGGTTCACTCCTCGGAAGTGGCATTATTTCTGATGCACCAGTCAAGATTTGGGGTTTAAAAAGCTTTATAAGAATCTGTTAAATCGGCTATCCTCTGAATAATGGCCTAATATTATGGCGGCCAAAAAAACACACCCTGACAGGACCTCAATCACATGTAAATTGCGTCAAAACTAGGATTACTGTTCGTTGACAATTCTGAAAAACAGAACAATACACACGATAATAGCGACATGGCGGGGAGACCATGCGTTCCTGCGCAGGTTAGCGATAGTGTTCTTTCGATTAAACTCACCGCCGAGTGTATTCCCATGCCGCAGCCATCTAGTTTAGCCCCTCCCCCACCCACATCACGCGTAGCAGCGCGGTAGATACGCTCGGTGATGAAAACTGTGTTACAAGTGCGGCACTAGCCGCACCTTGTTTTGAACATATTTAGCCAAGTTTCAGTGGCAACACATATCAAAGAGTAGATTTTGGGGAACTATTTGCGACTTCTGTGCCACAATTTTCAGATATAAAGGCCTCAGTTGTTGCTAAGTACTCGATTTGGTCATTTTCCTTTTTTTTCGTTCCTCATTATTTTCGAGTTCAAGTTTTTTAATGTTTACACCATACGGCGTTATGAGGCCCAGTCAGGGTGTGTATTTGGCTGCCATAATATGTGGCCGTTTTTCGGAGGATAGCAGTTAAATCTGTCTTTTTTTTTTTTTAACTTTCTCTTTTACCATTTCTGATGTTGAGGGAGATATAAGATTCTAGTTCTTGCTCTTCTGACTGTCTTGACCATAGGCACATCATACCATGGTAGTGTGCCTCTGAGGTATTCTTTCTTTGTCTTCTTCTTTAACCCATAAACAGGCATTTATGGTTTGCAGTTAGACTCTGTCCAACATGTTTGATTTAATCAAGCTGCAAATTAGTCACCTATTACCACACGCTCATTAGAGGCAATAGCCCTAAACTCTCTTCCCCTCCCCCACACCAGAAGTTAATCTTGTTGTACAAATGGGTACCAATCTCTGAACGTTTTGAGGCTTGTGCGGGAAGGAAAAGTGACTATGAAGTGAACTCGGCATCTCACCCAAAACATGTTAGTGGTGTAATTTGAAAAGCTTCTAATGTGGGTTTTCTGGACCCCCAAATTTTCGGGAAAAGGGGGGGGGGGGAGCAACAGACTCCCTGCTGCTTTACAAGCATGCCATAAAAGGTGATTAATTTAGGATTTGAAAGTCTAACAGCTCACATCCCAGTGTCAGTATCTGCTAAAAAGTTATCTTTTTTATAGATTCGAACAAGCCCATACAGCCTCCCCAATCATTGTTTATTACACACCTCTGTCTGATCCTCTTATTCTTATCCATATTAATTGGTTTTATCTGCTGGCTCTCAGCCCTGTCTCCTCTTTATACATTTATTTTTCTGCAGATGCGAGACATTTTGTCTTTAATCACTGGACATAATTCTCAAATATATTATAATACCATGGGAGCTGCCATGTTGTAGTGGCTAGATGTGGATCCAAAGGTTGTGGGCTCAGGTCCTGATGGACCTAGACTTAATTTTTATTTTTAAAACGACTTTGTCTTCTAGGTCGACTAGCCTTAAATGGGTACTAGGTAAAGTCCTGGGAGGTAAAGGTGGCTGGTGTGACATCAAGAAGAGCCATGGTAGAACGGTTGGCAGACATTTTCTTGCCAGCCCAAAGGTCCTGGGTTCAAATCCGCATCAAGGCAGATTTTTTAAATTGATCTAGAGCTTAAACCAAGCCTCATAAATTTCCAGCGTAATATTGACCTTATCACCCGTCAGGTGCAGATTGGTTTGAAAAAATCTGGGTCTGGCATCTTTTGCCCAGTGCACCAATGATGTGAAAATGATTTCTCCACTATTCAAGTTTCTACATCGGTTACAAGCCAAGATATTTTATTTCTTCATCTGCTCTAGTCTTGTTCTGTCTTTCAGCTTCAGATTTTGAAGAGGCATCGATTGTGAGACTTTTTATATGCTACATAGATGCTGGTATTTACGACCTTGGATATTCAATTCTTTGCATGCATAGTCAACTGAGATTTAATTTTGCTTAAAAGAAACATCAATGAGAAGGGGATAAGATATTGACTCATGATGTAATAAAGTAATTGACCCTTGATCTTGTAAACAAAAGAGATACTGAAAAATATCCTATTGGACATTTCATTCTGTCATAGCTATACCACATGGATTATGCATGATAGTGCATTAGGTATCGATGTGTAATCATTACTTGCTGAAAAAAAATAGAATTAGTAACATAATTGTCCCATTATGTGTTGTCACCTCTGATGTCTTTCCTCTGCTTCAGTGCATGCCAAACAAAACCTGGGAGTGTATTTATTATGCCATTTTGGTGGCTTCAGGGGTTCTTTAACAGTAGATGTTTATTTTATTCTCTTCAATGGAACAAACCAGTCTTGTCTCTTCTTTAGATGTTTGTAGTAAACTAGACCCAGCCTTATAGTCTGCTGTGTTTATTGTGTGGAGACTTAGTTAATATATATTTCTAAGTGTTATTTCAATAGTTAGATACAAATTCTGCCTAGTTAACAAAGCAGGCTGAGAGAGATCATGCTGTTCAGGCTTTGTGCTATGAACAGGAGGAACTTAATCTCTGGCCATCATAGATATAACCATGAGTAATGATTCCCTTGCCTCTCTATAGTGTAAAGATTTCTTTTTTTTAAATGATTTTTTTCATAAATGTTCACAGGTTCATGACCCAAATTTTTTTTGGTAGCATTCTTGGGGTAAAAGGGTTAAGTAAATGGAAGCAGTTGACAGTCAAGTATTGCAGCATGTCTAGAAAGTAGTTAACGCAGTTTTTTATTGGAAGCTTAGTAGATGTAAAGTAAAAGATGTGAGCAAATGCAGAACAAATACAGCCAAATGTGTCTTTATCAGTTAAACAAACAGGAATGATAAACCACAACAGACAGTTGAGAAATGAGTTTGATAACTAGAGGCAAGAAGAGCTATTATTCTGAAATCTAGGAGGAGGAAAAGCTGTTGGAAAAACTAGGCACATGAAGAGCTGTTGGAAGAACTAGGCACATGAAGAGCTTTTTGCAAAAACTAGACAGGAAAAGCTTTTTTTAAAACTGACAGGGAGAGCTATTGGGAAAACTAGGGGTAGAAATAAAAAGGTATCCTTTACAGGACGTTGCAGAACCAACCCAATCAGCCCCTGGTTGTTGTGTGGTTTTCTATGCAAATTACATCCAGTAGCTTGCCATTGCTTTCTGGACGGTCAGCTTTCTTGATACCACTGTCAAAACCAACAGTTTGAGAACCTCTGCAGTAATGCCTCGGTCGAGTCAGCAGACAAAAGACCTTGTCAGCTGCTGTACCACGCAATTTGGTCGCAGTTTCTCCCGCTACGACAGACTTAGGCAGCAGAAACTATTGTGGTAATGAGAGAGTTATTTCAGTCCATCGCAGTGTATGCAGAAACGGGTGTAAGGTAACCACTATTCGAATTCGGTCTGACCGCAAGTATTCGGCCGAATACAGAATAGTTATTAGGTCCACTATTCGGTCCCGAAGGGAATATTCAGTACAGCCCTTAATTTTAATGTGTGTTCTGTGAGCATGGCTCACATGCATCATTAGTACTACCCTGTATTCTGTAAACCAGTCGTCAGTTGATGGGGGATGTGATCAACATCATGCCGGCCATCTGTACTTCCCAGAATGTTTCATGCGACCTACTTAATCCACTTTAGGCTAAACTGGCGGCAGCCAAGGTTAATTACATAAATGTGCCGCAATTTTGATTCAAACCTAAGGTCTTTGTGCTGACAGGCAGGCATCTAGCCATTGCGCTGCTGCTGGTCCTGCACAGAAGAAAACTTCGTAAGTCAGGTGTGTCATTCACCTGAACCATCAACTGGGAAATCTGGACACAATTCCAGTCTTGCCATTGTAATGGCACTATCAGCAACAGCAAGTATCATCACGGAACATTTGCTCCGAGTGGTTAGATCCTAGGCTCTTTTTTTGGGGTAAACCCAGATTTGAAATCTCGGTAAGGTAATGGGACATTTTTTGGGGGGTCAGAGCAGGAAACAAAACAATCCTGACCTGCACAGTTCATAGCGACTGTCCAAAAGTTCAAGGCCAGCTGTTCTACACTGTCTCACAACATGGTAAATACAGGCAGGAAAGACAGGTTTGCTCAACTTCTTCTGCATTCATTCTGAAAAGGGCAATAGGCATGTTGACTTGTGATTTACAGCTAGGCTGTGATGTGCATGCTTTCAGGCCAGTATGTCAGATTTCAGCAGTCTCATTTTGCAGCATGCTTGTTGTGGGATAGTGATTCTAATTTCCTCCCTCCCCTCCTCCAAACTAGGGCTGACACAGACAAAATGTGTTCGACAAAGAGTGAGGAACACGTTGCTGGCTGCTGAAGATGGGGACAGAGAGCTTATGGGAATGCTCGAGTGCTGTTATGTTGGTTCTTGAATCAAATCAAATCATGAATGTTCAGTGCAACAGGAACCAAGCGGGTGTTGAAACTTTCCTGTGTGCTTTCCAGGACCCCATGTTGGTGCAGTGTGTGTGGGGGGGGGGGGGGGGGGGGGAGCCACAACTCCTTTACAAGCACGTCATGAAAAGTAACTTTTAGGATTTTGCTTGCATGGATGAAATGTGTTGGGCAGATATTGAGGCTTTACTATAAGCCATAACAGCATGCAACTGCCTCTTTGAGAGAAAATAGAAAAAAAAAATGTTGGAACTCTGCGCTGGTTGCTAAAAATAGAGATGGTACGATTATGAGAATGCCCCAAGTACTCTGGTGTCAGATCTTATGTTAGCTCAGTTTAGCTTGTCAATAAAGTTCTGCTGGTCGTAGAGCAGTTATTTGTCATCTTTGATGCTGCAGGCGGCATCCTCTCAAACTCTGTGTGGCTGTTTATGTCAGTATTTATGGTCTAAACAAATATTTGTGAATATCTTTATATCAGAGTTTATGTGTCTAAACACAGGTTTGTGAACTCACCTGTAATAGAGCAGTAAAAATAGTATACTTCTGTAACACCTCACCTGACAATTAATTCAGTTCTAGAAAAATAGGACATGTATAATCAATAGCAGCTGTACTGCATTCCTTGGTTGTCAATATGTTTGTCTGGCATTTATCTTTCACTGTGATCTTCAATGTTCTCTCTCTCTCTCTCTCTCTCTCTCTCTCTCTCTCTCTCTCTCTCTCTCTCTCTCTCTCTCTCTCTCTCTCTCTCTTTCTGTCTCTACCTTCTGTTAGGCTGTCTTTCTAAAGATTGTTTTGTCTGTATTCTCTCTCTGTCTCCCCCTCTCTCTCTCTCTATCTCTTTATGTCTATATCTTTCTTTTTCTCTGAATCCATATCTCCCTCTCTCTCTCTCTCGCTGGTTTGTTGATATCCCTCTTACAAATTTATGTGGATGAAAACAATCTAGTAATGTGTTTTGTCATCTGTCTGCAGTACATTGGAACATTTTCTGTCTCTGGGAGTGACAAAGAGTCTAGAGAGCGACACATGGAGAGTCAGTTGGAGCAAATGAGGGTTTGTATCTACTGTAAATTTAGTTGTATAGACTATGCAGCAGACAGTATCAAAGAGACTGAGACACTGGGAAGAGTTGACTGTTTTTTGAACAGCAGTTTTCTTAGTGCTCAGTGTTGGAATGCTCAAATGGCTGATACACATACAGAGGAAATAGGATGGTAGAGCCCAGAAGGACCTCCTTTGTGGTGAATTATAGATGGGTGCATGGTATATAGGTTCACCTCTGTGGGATGTGTCGAAATGAGACATGAATAATACAGAAATTGATGGCAGGATCATGTTGCATGGGAAGGAATAAAAACGAAGAAGATTTAGAGCTGAGCATTTAAGAAGTAACAATTTATGTGATGGCTACAAAGACCTGAAACCCAATGCTCTAATTGAGAGAAACTTTCTGTCCAATATGGCAGATAGAGAGACCATCTGTTTCAGTCATGGCAAGTTATTTGCTTCTGGCCAGAGTTAGCTGTTGCATTTTCTCCATAATAGAGTATGCCATACATAGTATAAAACGGGAAGTCAATAAGTAAGTCACTAATGGTTAGGAGATGGTAGGGAAATGTAGTTGTTGGTTTCTAAATGTGTCATTAGGTGGCAGCAACATCAAACTTTATGACTCCATTTGTTACGTGACACTAGGTGGTGCATGCATATTCTCAACACAGAAAAAATTAGCGGCTGTACTTACGGAGTGTATCCTCAAAGAACAACATGCTGTTGTGCGTTTGAAGAGGGGAGAAGGGCTGCCTGCAAAGGATATTCGTAAGGAATTGCTTCCTGTTTATGCTGACAAATGTTTATCCTGTAAAGCAGTGCATTTCTGGTTTTTTAAAAGATTCTCAAGGACACTCTGATATTGTTGATGAAGTCTGACCTAGTCATCCTGTTGAGATTGAACAGACACATCTGTGCAGCGGGTGGAGGAGATGATTAGAGATGACAGACAAGTAACGGTTGACTCTGTAGCAGCTGCAGTAGGGTGCTCACATGGCTCAACATAATGCATGATCAATTGAAATTTAAGAAATTGTGCTCAAGGTGGATACCCAGACAGTTGACGGACAAACACAAAATAGACCTGTCCTTGCAGCATTTCTCTTAATACGCAGATAAAGGAGAAGACATACTAAACAGCGTGGAAGGTTATGCTGATAGTGTTCTGAAATTATCAAAGAAAGATACACAATCAAACAAAAAGAAGATCAGCAAGCTTCACAATATAACAAACACAAAAGAAACGTGAGTGTTGTGGCTATAGAGCCTTTATCAGCACATACATAAAACAAACAAAACCACATGAATATACAAAATCACTAAACTGACATATCCCAAAGCAGTCACGTTGAGGTCTTGCTGGTGGAATGAAGAGACAACCTGGGGCCTAAGAATATATAGCCAGAGAATGTCAAGGGCTATAACATGAAAATGTGTTGACAGTTCAATCTCCTGAGTGTGAAGGTTCCAAAGTAAAAATAAAGTGATTTTAGTGATAAAGTGATGGGATTGTCAAGGAGTGCTTTCAACCAGTTTTAAAAAAAAATAAGAGGTGACAATATGAACCTTGATTTTATACTGTAAAGTTCTGTCAATGCTTCGAGATGCAATTAGAAAAAAATGTTCAGACCTGCTGACTAGAGGAGTACTGCTCCTTCATAACAATATTAGATAACATACAGCTCGTTTACTCAGAGGAAAATTAACCATCTAGGGTTGGAACTTCTGGAAAAAAATTTTCACAAGTTGTTATCCTCTATCATCTTTAGTTGTGTTTTTTTTACACAACCATTTCTGACTTACTTATTACTTCCACTCATACTACATATAGTCTGCCACTGCCACAGATAGCATGTCATAGATGGTATCCAATAAATGTATACCATAGATGGTTATACCACAGAGGGTAGTATACCACAGATGGTTATACCACAGAGGGTAGTATACCACAGAGGGTAGTATACCACAGATGGTATGCACAGGTAGTATACCACAGATGGTTATACCACAGAGGGTAGTATACCACAGATGGTATGCACAGGTAGTATACCACAAAAATTATGTCACAGACAGTATTTCACAGATAGTATACCACAGATGGGGTGTCAGAGATAGTTTCCCCACAGATGGTATGTCACAGCATACTACAAATAGTATACCACACATGTTATACCACAAATATTATACAAGAAATGGTATGCCACAGAGGGTATTTAAATCGCTAAAAATTATATATTTTTGAATTTTGCCTGCAATCAAAATTTGTCTCTCCCCCAACCTCATCTCCTGTTTGTTTCAGAGTGCCAGAGATAGGAGACCTGTCAATTTAATCATTTCAAACACGGGTGTCAAAGTGATGCTGCATGAAAATAACGTAAGTTCACAACCCAGGTAAGTGTCTGTCTCAAGAATCATGGAGGTTGGTCTCTGGGAGGGATTATAGATTATTCAGCCAGAAAATTAATTTCTAATCACTATATCTTTCAGCTGGAAGAGTTGGTTAGGATGCTGGAATCTCATTCTGGAAACCCGAGTTTGATCCTTAGGAAGGGATTATAGATTATTCAGCCAGAAAATTAATTTCTAATCACTATATCTTTCAGCTGGAAGAGTGGTTGGGATGCTGGAATCTCATTCTGGAAACCTGAGTTTGATCCTTAGGAAGGGATTATAGATTATTCAGCCAGAAAATTAATTTCTAATCACTATATCTTTCAGCTGGAAGAGTGGTTAGGATGCTGGAATCTCATTCTGGAAACCTGAGTTTGATCCTTAGGAAGCACATAATTTGCCATATGGTCTACCCATTGATGGATGTTCTGTGATATTTAAGTCCTTCGTTATTAACATGGCAGACTCAGTTCAGCTGCACAAACGCCACTGTAGCTATTTCACAATGTTAACAATAATGACTAGTGACAGGCAACATAAAGTTTATTTAAGTTGCAGGATGATTATTATTATAAGATGATTTTACTGTGTGGTTTCCGGGCCCCATTGTGGGGAAAACAAGAATTGACCCAATGCCTGACCAAAAGCATGTTGTAAGAGTTGACTAATTGTGAGCTTGCTTTGAAGTCTGAGTACATCTGCCTGAGAGGCAGGGAACCAACAGTCTGCATGCAATTCAGTCAGATGTGTGAAACGGATGTGTACACAATACTCAGATTCTGGGACAGGACTAGAGTCCAGAAGTGGATGAACAACCAGAACTTTCCGTTGGAGTTTACAGCTGGAGAACGGGAAGATGGTAAGATAATTTATCTTCACTGGTGATTAGTCAACAGCCATTTATCAAACGCACAGTCAAGCTCCAACGGGCTATTCTAAATCTCCTAGTAAGGGTAAAAGCATAAGCTGCAAATGAAAGAGATAATGTTTATCTTGTTCCATCATAATGATAAAAAGCCACCAGACGGTCTTCCGGTAACTGGTGAATCAGATCCTCATTAAGAGTAACTTCAACATCCTGATACTAGACACAGATTACTAGCTGACCAGTCCAAAAGAGATCATCAGATAGTAGTAGGATGCCAATAGGCAACATTTTTGTAAATTGGCACCATTAAAGCATCAAAACTTGTCGCATGTCAGTCAGATTGTTGGTTGTCATTACAAGTATTACTACTATAATTACATTTTTTTGTTTTTAACTTATAATTACATTTTTTATTTTTTTTATTTTAAAATGATTGATTCTCAAATGTTTGCAGAATGTTTTCATGGAGCACTCCCTCAAGAGAATCTGGTATGCCACGTGTGACCCTGAGTACTGCCAGTTTTCATTCTTAGCCAGAGAACCAAAAACGAGTGCAGAGGTTCAGTATTGCCATGCCTTCGTTACACAGACTTCTCAACAGGTAATCAACATGTTGAATCGTGGCATTCTTCTGTCTGTAAACAGGTACATTTGTTACAAAGGGCATATAGCGGTGCTGAACCGCATATGATGGTGCACCATGGTTCATACCAGGGAAGACGTATTTGCATCTGTCCGTGATCATCCTAGAAGCTGGTTCCCAACCGGAAGCCTAGCCAGTTTAGGATCAACATTTCTTTTGAAGTCAAAGTGCATCTGCCTAAAAGATGAGGCACCAATAGTCTGCACACATGTAAACCAGAACTGTAAAATACAGGTGCACACACAAATCAAATCCTGGAAGAAGACCAAAGTCCAGACGTTGATGAACAAATAGGACTTTCCACCAGTTTACAGTTGATGAACAGAAAGAAGAAGAAAAGAAGTTACCAAGATTCATGTCTCATTAAGTAACTTTTTTTAAAATCAAGGACTGATGTCTCAGCAGGTCACTTTGATGCAGAGAGTTATCTCCCGAGAGGTAACTTTCCCAACATTTTATTTGTTTAAAATTTTGTTTGTTTGTTTCAGAGACGCTTGTCCCAACATTTAATTTTGTTACAGCTACTGATGTTCAACAGTTAATTTTGTTAGAAGTTCTGAAATATACCAGCAAGTTTTTCATATACTTTTTATGTGCTAGTGGTTTTCCTACATCCTTTGTTCCTAGTTGGTTCCCCACATGTTTATTCTGTTCCTGTTGGGTTTCTTCTTACATTATTTATTCCTATTTGGGTTCTTACATCCTTTATCACTAGTGGATTTCTTAATCCTTTACGTCTAGTGGGTTTCTTAGATCCTTTGTTCTAGCTGGGTTTATTACATCTTTGATCCTAGTGAGTTTCTTACATCCTCTGATCCTAGGGGGTTTCTTACATCCTTTGATCCTAGTGGGTTTCTTACACCCTTTGATCCTAGTGAGTTTCTTACACCCTTTGATGCTAGTGAGTTTCTTACATCCTTTGATCCTAGGGGGTTTCTTACAAACTATGTTTCTAGTTGGTTTCTCACATCCTTTGTTCCTGGTGGATTTCTAACAATTTTTGTTTGCCTAGTGGGTTTCTTACATCTTTTGTTCCTAATGGGTTTCTCACATAGTGGGTTTCTTACATACAAGTGGGTTTCCTACATCCTTTGATCCTAGTGGGTTTCTTACATCCTTTGTTCCTAATGGGTTTCTTACATACAAGTGGGTTTCCTACATCCTTTGATCTTAGTGGGTTTCTTACATCCTTTGTTCCTAATGGGTTTCTCACATCCTTTATTTCTAGTAGATTTGATACATCCATTGTTCCTAGTGGGTTTCCCACTTATTTTGTCTCTTCCCTGTGAGTCTCTCACATGTGTAGTCTGTTAATTGTGGTTTGCCACATATTTGTCTTTTTCTCATGGACATTTTGCTCAATGATGAGAACTCATTTTAGACCAGGCAAACATTCTGAAGACCATTTATGAATAAAAGTTGATGGACTATATGATGTTAGATAAAACAGCATGTATAAGGATATGTGAATTTAGAATTAAGTGTGGATCCTGCAAGAAGGGATGTATGAAAGGAGGAGTACTAAATGTGTACAACCAGTATGCTTCTGGAACAGTCAGCATCGACAGCTGGAAACATTTGCTGCAGAAGATTAGGCGTCTATGGGTATCCTAGAACACTATTACATCGATTCTTAAAGCAGTAATTATTCAGACATATTCTTCACTTTGAGGATTTGTGTTTTAGGCAGAGGAACTTATATCTCTCATGGGAGAAGCATTCAGATCGACTGACAACGAAGCCAAGAAGCCACCAACATTCCATGAACTCATAGAACAACAGGTAAACATGTAACACTTCATAATGTAATTTAATGAAACAGCATTGATTGTTGAATTAAGAATCAACGTCACAGCACTCGGGTCACTCCCATTAGCTCTTCTTCCCCATCTTCAGCAGCAAGCAAAGAGTTTCAGTTGCGATTGCACCAGTAAGTGTCTGATTGTATATCCGTCTCGCCTTTACCTTGAGTGTTGAGCATCAGCCAGATCCCCTGGTATCTCCCCGCAGCGCTATTCTCTCCAGACAGTAATGATCTTTTTGTGCCTCCTTACTGTTCACTCACTCCCAAAGGGCCCTCACAACATCTAGCTTTTATTACATCAATTCGCTACTGAGTGGCGCAGAACCGACCAGTCTATCTGCCTGCTTGTTCCCCAACACACCGGCATAACGTGAAGAAAATATCCAAAAGACGCTAACTGCCCGGGACCTCTAAACAACATATAAACATCTAATACTCCATTCTTCACCAACAGGCAAACATTTAACACTTCAGTATATAAATTAATCAAGTAGAAGTACTTAAATGAAAATTCTTTTTATGCTGGTAGCACATTACGTTATGATGCAAGAATCATATTTTTACCAATCTGGCTGAGTGGAGGATGAGGTCAGAATCCCACTGGCCTGGCCACCTTTACTTTCAAGGACATTACCTGGTACACATTTAAAAATAAATGGAACAACAGGTTGCCATATTATAAGATATTTCTGACCAATCCTTTGGTTGGTTTTATTGCACTCAAAGATGATTCCATAGTTTTCTCCAGACTTTTCTCAGAGACCATACAAACAGAAATTCACACAATGCAAGAACATTGTTGTGTCTTACGTCTAAGCTTGGAAATCTTTGGGCCCAACACATCTGATTGCAGCAAATGCTTAATTAGTCACTTTTTGCACCACCATTTTTATTAAGGGGCCGTCAGACCCCCCCCCCCCCCCCCCCCTTTTCGTCCCAAATGGAGTGCTGAAACTTACACTGGAAATTGAGGATCCAAATATTTGGAAGAAAGAAAGTAAATCCGAGGGCCAGTTTCGTGCTAAAGCTGTATTTTGTATAGAGCAATCAGCATTCATATTGTTCAACTTTATGCCAGCTTCCTTTACTTCACAGGGCATTGTTTGGGTGTGTGTTTTTGGTCCCCATTTTAGGCTGTTTTCACTGGAAGTCCCAGTTTAATTTTTTTAATTCACCGTGGTACAGAGTCAGACAGAAAATCTTGGGGCTGGCATGCTGATATTTGGCCACTGTACATTTTTATTGAGATATTTTTATCATATTGTAATGTTGTCTGTTGAAACTGTCTGCTAATCCAAAGGTCTTGGGTAGGAATCTGCATCAGTATAAGGACCCCTTTCCACGTCTTTAGGCATATTGAGCGTATATGGCTAGACTCAGTGGGTGGTTGTAGTTAACATCACTCTGATCGCCTTTACTTCCCAGGATTTACCTAGTACTTATTTAAGGCTGGGCTGACATGGGAGCCAAAGGTCATTTAAAAAATTTTGTTTTGAAGTCCAGCTGCTGCAGGACCTGAACCGTTGACCTTCGTATCCCTGCACCAGTTTCTATTGCTTTCATTATTCTTGTAGTCGTCATTTTCATGATTGACTGTGGAAGGGATGCAAGCACTTATGGGCTGAGGTTCAGTGTGCAGTGAGAATGATCATTCCACTCATTAACTGATTTGTTTATCTCTCTACACTTTAGGTGCAGCAACAGCAGGCGCGGTACAGGGAGACTGAGCAAGAAGCTAAGAATGCCTTAGAGCAGAAACTCAAAGAAATAGCTACGCCGACTCCATTTTCTGAAAGAGCTCAGTACCGCATGGAGCAGAGGAGAAAATCTGAGGATGTATCTGTGTTAGTAGACCAGGAGAAGTTATTGGTGAGTATGATTGACATGGGTTGCTAGCTGTACCCAGGCTGAAATGTGTCCCAGATCATGTCTTGGAAAGTGACCAGTGTGGTGTGGATTACTTCACCTCTTCACCCATTGAGCAGCACCTGATCCATAAACATGTGTGCCTAACACCATAAGATTAATACAGCGGTGCCATGAAAAAAAAAAGTCCTATAGATATACATACACACACTCATGTGTGGCTACAATGATTGTATAATCTATGTGCCCTCTCCACAATAAAGGTTGGCTACAGTGTACCCACTGCTAACAATATATGCTAATACATGATGTAAGACCCCACACTCATACTACTGTCTGAAAACCATGAAAATAGTGTTTAAAAAATACTCAACAGCCCAGCGCAAATTTCAGGCCCTAGTACTGAGATTCCTAAACATCAAAGAATACCTGAGGTGGAACTGAATTCGCTTCAGTGGAGACAACTAGCCCGACACTAGTCAGGGAGCTTTGAGGCCACATGCTAATCTGAATCTGTAAAGTGGCTTGTCATAAATGTGTCTTCAATACACCGAAACAATATATGTTGTAAATACAGTGAGACAGCCTACACTGCAAACACATTACCCATAAGAGTAGTTAAAAAAACCAAATTAATAAACCATCTAGCACGGATATCAAATTCTAGTACTTGAGGATCATGAAACTGTTAAACACATTCACTAACCTGTAAGGGGGAGGGGGAGTTGTGGACATTAGAAAGTTAATTGGTTTGATATTCTCTCCTTGTCTAATGTACACACTCATACATTCAAAATGCGACACAGCATTATCATTAAATAAATTTGCAATGCGCATAGCCACTTTCTTATTAGGGTGATGCGTCTTAATGTGAAATGCAACAGTTTGCCATGCTTTCAGCATTTCTCTTATTTCGCCAGTAGATTGTTGCTTTTCTGTTACCCCTCCTCCTCCTCTGACAAACATTCCTCCAAAACTTTTTGCTCTGAAACACAATGCAACTCCATAAGCTCTTGGGTGGTCAGCTCTTGGCTGTGCTCTTCCACAAGCTCTTCGATATTACTGTTATGCACCTACAATCCCATGATAGTGGCCAAAGACACAATCTCGTTGACTGCAGGTTCCACATGTACTGTATCGAACCCCTAAAGTCACAAATCGACGCTCTCCGGCTAAAGCTTCTTCCAAGCAGAAATTAGGGTTCTCTAGGTAACCCCTTCCCCCGCCTTGTCGATCATCTTGAGGCAGGCAAAGATGTGGAAGTGATTTTTTTTCCAAAACTCTTTGACAGTGAGTTTGGTCTCTTCAGTCACTGAAAACAATGCTCAAAGATTGCTTCAGTGTAGAGCTTTTTAAAGTTAGAAATAACTTGCTGGTCCATAGGCTGGAGAAACGGAGTGGTGTTGGGAGGCAGAAACCGGATCTTGCTGAATTTAAATTCTTCAGGAAGGTCAACTTATAGGCCTGGAAGATTCATGTACATATATAACAGTATAACACAAGTTTGAGAAAATGTGTGATTACAAGCGACACTACGATGCTGCTGGAACGAATGCTAAACACAGACTGACGTAACATGCGCACAATTCGCAACTTCCCCTCTCCTCACCACTCATTA